AAACATTAAACATGTAATGTGCAATGTATTCAGTAAACAAGTAAAAAGGAGGGTTTTGTGGTTTCAAGTCCAAATTACTCAATCAGAAAATTAAATTGTAAGGTTTAATCAATAAAATATAGTAACCCTTAGTTTGTCCATATAGATTCTATCCCCATTTCGCTTAAGATTTAATACTCTTCCTCTTTGCCAGAATTAGGTTAATTTAACAAGCAAAAATTAACCTTATATTCCCATACGAAATTAAGCATTTCAATGGACTCCAATCTCTCATCCAAAGATTAAGCAACCTTAGAAATAAACCCAGAATTAAGCAATTCAAGTTTAGAATCTCATTAAAACAAATTAGGATTAATTAACCAATGTCTCCCTCATTCAACCATTAATTTAATTCAAGAGATTGGGAAGAAGAAATTCATGAAAGAAAAGGATTTGTATTAACATTCATAATTCAGGAATTCAAGAATCTAAGTGAACTCACTAGGGATTACAAGAGGTTTAGCCCTCCATAAAAATAGGTCTCACAATTACAAAGTAAAAGTTAAGAGAAATTAACAACATCAATGTAAAAATCAAAGAGAAATAAGAAGAAAATGGAAATCAAACCCTAGGTTGGGCCCTTGGCTGTCACCCAAGGCTGACCTAGGCTTTCTAAAAATATCCTAAAAACCCTAAAATATTTAAAGTAAAAGGTTCTGCAAAAATTGTAACCCTAAATGGTAAAAATCTATTTATATTAAACTTGATGTCCTTCATAGTAACTACTATCATTTATGATAGTAGCTATGCACAGCTCTCAGGATTTTTCTTCCTCTCTGTAGTAACTACTATTACAAATGAAAGAAAGTAGCTACGCGTACTGCATAGTAACTACTATCGTTTACGATAGTAGCTACGTGCAAGTCTGTAGCTTACTAGGGTACTATAGTGATCACTATTGCTTTTGAAAGTAGTTACTCTGACCTGTCGCTTGGGATTGACTTGCTGTACTGATTATTATGGTGTTTCACCTTACATATTTCAAATGGTAAAAAATTCATAGAATTTGTTTAAAATTTCTTGCACAATTATTCAAATGAGTAAAATTGCAAAAAATATTTACAAAAATTAGCATAAATTAAACAAAAATTAAGAAAGCTATAATATTTGACCTAAATGAGATTTTTATACTATTTACAATTTTTAAGTCTATTTTTTAATTAAAAATCTATAAAAAGATAAATAAAATATCTATAAAATATAAATTCATCAACATATTCTCTGAGCTGTTTGCTCAGTCTTTTGCCCCGTTTAATATAAAAAAAAATTATAAATAAAATATAAAATCAAATACCTAAATAAGAAGTCATTTGACTAAACAAAGATGAGAATTACTCTTAAAAGTAGTTTTATTAAAAAAAAAAAAGGTTTGCTCCATTCTTTATGGCAGCCTGAACACCTTGTATAGATAGTTTATAAAGGTTGTTAATTATTTCTGTTTTCTAGTCAATTCAATGTATAGTATTTTTATAAGAAACACTTTAAATTAGAAAATTTTGGTCAAAGTAACGGTTTAGTATATGAAGATTTTGCACCTCAACAAGAAATTCTTTCTTTATACTCGCGGGATAGTTATAGAGATGAGTTTTTCATTTTTTGTACTTGCTGCCATAATTATCAAGTACAAATGTATTTAGCAACTATGTGGTGTGTTATGACATGACATGTAATATAATTGTGAATATGAATAATTTATTAATTATATATTAAATATTTTTCTTTTTTAGGTATAGATATACATAGGTCTAATATATTGAAGGTTTATTTTTTTTAATTTTGAAAATTACAATGAGATTTTGTTAGAGATTTACTATATACTTAATTCGTGATTAACCTTGAAAAGAATTTAAGCCTTTACATCCTTCCTTTAGACATTCTTCTGAATTGTTAATTCTTTATTGGTTTAGCATACGTAAAATTGTTTTGAAAATTAAAAGACTATTTACTTAAAAAGGTAAGATAAGGGAAAAAAAAATCCTCAAATCTAAAAGTATTGATATATATGACTTAGATTAATTATGATATAGATAGTAATTGTAACATAATACACATATTGGTTAAATAAAATTGCACTTTCTTTTTTAAAAACCTAAAATATAAACTTTAAACCCTAAACATTAGAAACTGAATAGTATGTTATAGTAACATATTGAAAAGGATGTATTTGATATATTTTCAAAAATAATATTTTCAAAACTCATCTTAACCATTACAATTTAATGTATGCAAACTTTAGCAGATCAACTTACATATAATATTCAAAGATAAAAAAAAATCTCAAATCTACAAGTATTGATATATATGACTTAAATTAATTACAATATGGATAGTAATTGTAATGTCATGACCTTTTTTTTTATAAAGGATCGATAAACATGTATTACTGCTCCCTGAATGGATTTATTTACAAATTAAAATAATTATAATGCAGAGGGTAAAATTTTTGAAAATTTAATTTAAACATTTAACGTGATGACAAAAATTTTGTAAGCATATCCATATTTACAGTGGTTGCTCTACATAGAATTCAAAATACATTTCCATAAATAATAATTACATTTTTGGAAGACTATAGCTAAATAGTCTAGACTTATAACTAAGACCTAGACTAACAAAATAACTAAAGTCACAATCTTTCCCTAAAAAGAAGTGTGGTGACTTCAAAATTCCTCAGCTAGACCCTCTAGCATGAGAAGTGGATGTATTTCCTGCCACATTTGCTCTCGTACCACCGTATTATCATCACAACACACACTCGCCAACACAAACAAGTGCAAGGATGAGCTTACGTAATCAATAGACATCAAAAACTTGGAAACATTAGGAATATTTAAATAACTCAAGTAGTCCTCAACAAATCAACACATAAATTCAGCCCATTCCCATCCCATCTAATGCAAATGCAATACTTCAGTCCCAACTGGTTTCACAGCCTAAGTAATTCAAAATGAACTATTTTCGGTCTAGAAACGAGTCATTCCGGTATCTATATCCAGACATAGCACAGCTCAGCATATCTGTCGTTACATGTCTAACCACCTAAACATGTCACTCAGCTCTATAATGATTAAAATCAAAATGATGTAGCACAACTTACATATAGTCTTAGCTTCAGCCATACAACTTTACATATATATATATATATATATATATATATATATATATATATATTCAGAATGAATTAAACAACCTTATAGCATCAATAAAACCTTTCAACACACATCAATATTCTCAACACATATCACAGTATTTATCATGTCCTATTACAGCATTTTAAATTCTCATTAAGCATTAGAGAAATTCACTTAGCCATAATACTCTGGGTTCTAACCTAGTGTCTGTCATTGCAACAACTTATTCTCGACTAAAACAAAATTAAATTCATAAATAACTCAGCATTAACTAAGTGAATAAGCCAGCTCAGATAAGCTCCTCTTACTTGGAATAAGTTTTCCTCATATCAAACTCCACATGAGTCCTCAAGGAAAGAAACAATGCTTGCAGGTTCAGATTTTCTCACAATCAAGAATTAGAGACTTTAGAGAAGAGAAACCTAAGAAATAAAATCCAGAGTTAGAGAATACAGTCTCGAGATCTCACCTAGATCTGCACTAAACAGAGATTTTCACTTGGATATGGAACAAATTTGACTTTGAGAATGTTTTCTCTAAGGGACAATGGTGAGAGAATAGAAAGAAAATGATAGAGGAAGGTTGTTTGGTGAGAAATGAACGTTTCTGGGCCCTAAGGCTCCTTTAACACCCCTCCAGGCCCATGCGCTCTCGCTTGAGCGAGCTCTTCTCTCGCCTGGGCAAGCAAACCAGACAGTGAAACCTTTCAGATTTCTGCTATTCTCGCTTGAGCGAGAAACATCTCGCTTGAGCAAGCTGCATTTCGCCTAAGCGAGCAACATTCTCGTTTGAGCAAGATTAAGTCCAAAGAGCTACTTAGTTTTCCTGTGACTTCTCGTTTGAGTGAGCTGCTCTCGCCTAAGCGAGGTCACTCCTTGCCTGTGTGAGATTTCTTCTTGCTTGGGCGAGAAGACAGTTGGGGTAATCCTATCTGTTCTCGCTTGAGCAAGAATACTCCAGAATGCCTGATTCAACGCGATCTAGTATCGCTTGAGTGAGACACCTTGCAGTCAGAACTCCTAATCTCTCTCCTAAATGAGATAATACTAGCTCCTGACCATACCCCCTAGATTATCCTATGCACAACATGCTTAACAATCAATCTCTAACCTACTTTGCACATCACATTTAACAACATCATGACACAACACTTGAGAATATATTGTTCCTCATCCGTCAATCATACAACTTTCATATTCATATTCTAACATATAAAAATTCATACATCTTAAGTATATACAACACAATTCAGATGGAATAACAACATTGCACTTTCTTTTTCACGATTTCTTAGACTTTGTTTGAGAGTTTGGAGGAGGGGGAGGGAAAAGGGAAAGAGGGGAGGAGAAGGAGAAGGAGAATTAAAACCTTTATATCGTTTAGATGTTTAGTATTGAAAGGAGAGAATAATAAATGTTTAATCATGTAAATGACATTATTATCTTTTATCTCTTTTATTTATATTTTTACTTTTTTCAAAAAATAAAAAATTACATATTTTTTCTCTCTAAAAATTAATAAGTTTAAAAATAATATATATTTTTTATAAATTTTTAAAAAATTCTTACTTTAAAAATTAACATATTTAAAAAAAATTAAAATCCTAATCATAAAACCCTAATCATATCTTTTCTAATTAACTAACAAACTAAAATTAAGCTAAGCTCACCAACTCTTTCTCACTCCACCTAAACATAACTCCCAGTCATACCATAGCGTTAGGTTATTAGTCAACTATTTAAATTAATTTTGTCCTTTCTGTCTCGCAGTCTCACTCTTTATAAGAGCACCGAGCTTCTGTCTCGCACGCTCACTTTTCATAAGGGCACCATGGCTTTACATAATGATATCTTCGCCGTTAGATACGACGAGAAGGAGATGAAAGGTCTTAACGTTGACACAAATTTTTCTTCTTCCTTCGACCCACAGAGAAGATATGAATGGCACAATTTTTGGGATGACGTGGAATCAATTCTGCCAACAACAAATATCACGTGGTTGGACACTTCCAAGGTAGAAGAAGCCAGATGGGAGCAAACGGAAGAGCAAGAAAATGTGAAAAAACCATTCAGTGATTTATCAAATATTCAAAGCAAGGCATTGTTGACTGTTGCTGATCAGAAGCAATCAGAAACGCGTTTGGATAATTCCAAAACAGAAAAAGAAGAAAGATTGAAGAAACAGTCAAGTATTCAAAGCATTCAAGAAGAGGCATTGTCAACGTTTTCTAAGAAACCCGCGGCGGCTGATGAGATGCATAGTCTCCGAACAGAAGAAGTGACGCCGGTGGAAAAGAAAGAACCTGAGATGGCGTTGGATGATCGATCAGATAGGAGCTGGGCTATTTTTGTGAGAAAGAAAAAGAGATGTAATCATTGTGGTAGCACAGAAACACCTCAATGGAGGCCAGGTCCAACGGGGAGAAGTACACTGTGCAATGCATGTGGTATGCGATATAAGTCAGGAAAGCTATTGCCTGAATATAGACCAAGGTCAAGTCCAGCTTTTGATGGAAGAAAGCATTCAAATTTTCACAAAAGGATAATGCGCATGCGAAGATTTTCAACACCAGAGTAAGACTGTACCTAGCATCACATCATTGATACATATTTTTTTTATTTTTTCTATTTTTCTAATAATTAAAGTGTAAATGAGGAAGGTAGAAGGTGAACTCAATCATCTTCTTTCTTTTTTTAAAAAATTTTAGAAACAGTAGTTGTTACTCAACGCTCGTTTGTTTCTGATATGATTTTTAATTTTTAAAAATATTTTAAAATCATTTTAAACAACTATTTTTAAGAAAAAAATGAAACTAAAATTTATTTGTTTGTTTTGTTTTGTTAGATGCTATTTTTTATTTATTAATTTTAAAAATTGAAAATGAAATATTGTTTTTAAAAATATTTTTAAAAACTCTATTTAAAAACAGAAACAAACGGAGTTTTAGTCTCTATTTATTATATGGTATAAATCTTAAAAGTTATGTGAATTCTTATGTTGTGCTTACAGAATCAGGTTAAAATATTTTTTTTCAATATTACTAAAGGTAATTTATAACATGCCTGCATACATATATAATTATTTCAAAATTTTTAAAATTTGATATTTTAATTATTAAAATTTATTTTTATATGTTTTTTAAAATAAAATACTTGCGTATTTATATTTTTATTTTATTAAAGATATTGAAAAGAAATTGAAATTTTTACTTATTTAATTTTTGTAACCAAATATATGCATGAATTATTCAATCAGTTGGTTTACATTTTATCTACTGATTTATTGATATTCTAAATTTGATAAAGGTTGTTACTTAGATAACCAATGTACGCGTTTGAAAGTGAAGCGTGAAGCTATTTTTCTTTACATTTCAACGCTTCAATGCATATACATTGAAAGATGAAAATGATTTGTAAATTATGTTATTTTTTATTGATTTTACTTTTCATCCGTATCTTTGTTAATATTTTGAAAATTAAAGTTATTAATTAGTTTTCCTTTACTATTTTATATAATTTTTATTTTTTATAAATATAATTTATTTAAAAATAATACTCTTATCGTATAATGTAAAAAAAAAAAAAAACTTTTTAATTAGATGTTACTAATTAATATATATATATATATTAATGATAAAGGTGGTAACACATGTGATAGTAAAGTAACAGTGGTCGTAATGTCAATTACAAAAGTAGTGATAGTGTTCACAAAAAATGATGGTTAATGGCCATGCGATCGACTGAGAGATAACAATGAAAGTGGTTATCAAGAGCAGTGGTATTGTGGTGAGCGACAACAGTACGAACGAATGTAACCATTGTGGATAATTAGGCAATAGTCGTGTCAGATTTTGAAGTGATTAGTTTGTTTTATCATGTCAAATAGTATTTTCTACATTATCTATTTATTTTTTAAAGTTATTAGTATATTTTTAATTATTTATTTTAAAAAGTTTAATTTAATTTACTTTAACAACACTGATGCGTCGGAGGAAAAAATTACCAATAAAAAATGTCATGTTAAATTTTAGTAAAATAATTTAAAATTAAAAAGAAAATAAGATGTTATAGTACTTTTAACAAAAAAAAAGTTTAATAATAAGTAAATTTTTTAAGATTTATTACTCTACAACAATTGTAATTGTTAAGATATTAGAAGAATCATAACCGTTACTATAAAGAGAATATAAAATATTCTTTCTCAGATACAGAATATCTTCTCAAGTTTACAGATACTACAACAAATACTTAAACTACTAATTTTATTATCTATCAATTTAAAATTAATGACGAGATTGTTACAAAGAGTACTATAGATTTTATCATATATTAATTTATTCTTTTTTAAATTAAGTGTTCTTTAACATTACATGATTTTTAAATTATTTATTTAGATATTTAAAAGGAGAAGAAAGAAATGATTTGAAGGGAAAGCAGCAATAGGGAATAAAATAGGGAATAGAATGTTAAACTCTTTCCTTATTTAGATGTTTAATATTGAGAGGTCAGGATAATGAAAGTTTAATTATATAAAAAATATTATTGTCTTTTATATTTTTTATTTATATTTTTTAATCTTTTTTAAAAAATAAAAAATAAATATTTTTCTTTCTAAAAAGTAATAATTTTAAAATTAAAATTTTTATTTTTATATTTTTTGAAAAATTCTCACCTTAAAAACTAACATATTTAAAAAAAGAATAGAATATTAATCTTAAAAGAATACGAAAGAGTGATAGAAAGAAAAATCCCAAAACAAAGGCAACTAATAAAACCAAGAGTTTAGAAAAACACTTACCCTTCTCTTTCTATTTAAGTATTTCGCCCTTACCCTCTTAGACATTAAACATGACATCCAAATATAGCCCGAGTGAACCAAAACAAAGAAACTTGAGCAAAGGAATAAAAAGTACACAGTGGTCACGTACTCTGAAAGCATAGATCATAGTAATAATTCTACAGACAACGAACGAACTGAATTGAAAGAGAACACTGCTGAGAATTCTCAGTCAGACCATGTTTTAAGCGTCTCTTTAAAATCAAACATGCTTACTGTTTTAGGCTTAATTCAATAAAGACCGGTAAAAAATAGTCCAACGTTCAAGTCACTTTGGAATCATTTTTATTTAATACAAACATGCCTGAAGTTTTTAGCTTTAATCCGTTGAAAGAGAAAAAGAAAAAAAGTCAGTCTTGCTGGAACACCACAAAGCAGTCAATTTAAATTTGTGATTTTTAAGATTTGTTCTTGAGCTGGAATTGGAGCAGCAAGACAAAGACCAATACAATGACACATTTATTGTTGAAAAATATTTGTATAGTGCAGCGAGTTCAAGAGTTCAGAACCCAGATTATTTGAAACAGATATAAATTAGATATAAATTTTGTAAGAGTTTCAAGTTATTTTATTAAAAAAAATTATTTTATCAAAGTTTTATAATAGTAATAATTAAAAATAAAAATAGCTTATCAGAATTAAAATAAAAGAGTTCAAGATAAATCATTTGATGATTTTTCAAATATTCAAACTAATAAATAGGATTTTCAACTGCTTTCTTTGTAAAAGTCTAAAATTAAGATATCCGAAATAAAAAGTTATAACTTACCGAGTTAATAGGAAAAAAAAAAGAAATTAAAAAATTATTATTTATTAATTTATCAAACATTCAAACTAATATTGAACACTTCCCTTTCTACTAAAAAAACCTAATATAGAAGAGAGAGAAGTGGAACCAGTCCTGCTATAACTACACTTCAACATAAAATCATCTTTGGGATTAAATACGATATTAATGTCTTCCTATTCGTTACATAATTAAGGCATAAATAGTTTTTTCAAAAGTTTTTAAACATTGTGCACAGTTAATTAAGATTAGATAGTTAAAAAAAAAAATACAAGAAACTCATACAAGTTAAATTTATGAAAGGATATATTAATAATTTCATGTATATATTTGTGTTCCTCATTCTCTTTTTCTCCTCTTTGTCTTCCTCTTTTATTTTCATCTCATTCATATAACGTCGATTTGCTCACTTTCTACCTTCCACCAGTGACTATGTAGATGTGCAATATTACTTTTTATTTTCTCTTTTTGACTATAAATTATGAGTCCAATATCAAAGATTCGCAAATGAATAACTTTTTACAAGGAAAATATAAAAAAATAATAAAATAATTTGAAAAGGTTGAAATTTTAGAATCTAATTTTTCTTTAAGTTGGACAAATTTAGAAAAGTTATATGAAATAAATATATAATTTGCATGAATTTAAGTTTTATGCTAAAAGTTGTGTCTTTTTAAAGTTTACGACGTTAAAGATAACAAAATTTAGATTTTTTTTCATTACTTTTTATGTTGGTTTTAAGAGAATCAATGTAGAAAGTAATGTTTTGTTTTTTCTTAAAAAAATATACACTTTCTTCAATATAAAAAGTAACAACTTAAAAAACGCTACTTTTTACATTGGTTCTGTTAGAGAACCAACTAGAAAATATTATTTTTCTATTAAAAAAAATCTTCTTTCTACATTGGTTATATGAAAAATCAATATAGAAAGTAATCGGTCAATTCACTTACTACAAAATTCTAACTCACCCTCAGTAACATCAATAAATCTGAGTTTTAACCAACCTAACCAATTTTAAAGTTTTGACTAAGACAATGACAATAAATCTGGCCAAGAATAGAGGTTGAAAAGATGTTAAAACCCAAAATAGTCATTGAGTTGATGCAATTTTTAACTTTTTCATCAATCAATCTTAACCATTCATTTTACATCTAAAAATATCAACGACTCATCCTTAATTACACTTTGCTTATTGAAAAATATTGCTTTTGTCAAAAAAAAATTTCATGTGGGAGAACGCACTACTAGAAAAGTGCTATTTACAGACAAACCGTTTCATTAAACCCTTTACAGACGGATTTTCCCGTCTGTAATGACTGCAACCCATAAAACAACGCCTCCCCCTTTCCCTTCCTCATTTTTTTATAACTCTTTCTCTCTCTCTCTAGGAGCTCAGTATTTTGGCCTTTGTGAGTAATTAGGGCATCCATTTGAAAGATTTTTTGCATCATTGTATTCTTGGTACGATACTCTAACTTTTAATCGGTTTAGTTTTTTAATTTTTTATGTTTTTTAGAGACTTAAAATTTATAAGATAGAGTTGTAGGATTGGAGATTGTATGACTGGGGGAAAGGGCGTAGAGGTTCTTCTTCGAACCTGATTATTGTGTGTTGTGGGATTGTTTGTGTTTATGGAGTTTGTAGAATATGCATGTTGTGGAGTTACAAGAGGATGTACTCTAGAACGGTTTAGGATTGTGATGTGTTTGTGTTGGATGTATCGATTAATATATTGTTATATAATATATTAGTTATGTGTGGTGAAATTTTTATTTTTGTAAAAAAGTGGTAAACAAATGTAAGAAAATTCACATGTATTAGGGGAGATTCTGCCAAAATTTATATTAAAATTCAGTGTAATGTATAATAGAAGGTTGATACCACATTGTATATTTGTATTAGGTTTATATAGTTCTTGAGGAAGATGTTTCTCAGAAATCGTCAGTGGATG